AGGAGAGGAGGGGGTGAAGGGAGGGCAGAGGTAAGGGGAAAAAAATGAGAATCAAGACTTGCCATGTAAAGGTACATGATCCCAACAATGAATGTAACTGTACTGTATCCCTAAATGTACCAATAAACTCAATAAAAAAAAAAAAAAAAGCACATCCCATCTCACACTGTCCTCTGAATCTGTTTCGTGGAGGGGTGACTTTCCTGTTATGTGGGCTGTGGTCTCTGTGAGGACTTTGCTTCTAATGGACCCACTCCATGCTTAATTTGTAATAGAGAAGGATCTCTTAGACTCACAAGCCTCTGACTGGAATGTCTTAAAAGTCCATTCCCTTCTCCTGTGAAGCTCTAAGATGCAAAACTTATAACTGAAAAGGGTGTTCCTAAAAATCATTGTAAAAACAACAGTGACCTGAACCAGTGGTTACCCAGCTGGCAGACGTAGAGAAAATAAAGAGAAAACACCATGTTAAAGATGCCGAGTAGCCCTGAATGTATCCAGCGAGAAGTCCCCACCCACTCCCCCTGCAGAGTGCAAATGTCTCCGGTGACAGAATCGTGAGGCTTCACTCTGAGAACAGAGGGCCCAGGAGCAGAGTCCAGCGCCCAGCCAGCCCTGGTACAATGGTCGGTAGGTTCTGACCTCGGTTTTGAGGCACCACCAGAAGCACCTCCATTCTGGGAGCACATTAAGACTAGATGGGGAGAAGGAGGTGGAAACCGAAGCACCCACATTTCAGGTGAAAATCCAATAGTAGTTTTACCTTCTGCTTCCACCCTCAAAATCGAAAGCGGCTGCTGTGGAAATTGTTCCGGTGCCATCGACGGTGAAGCCGGAACCCTCCGGGGAGAGGAAGTACTGTTCGGTGGACAGTGGGGAGAAAGCAGAATATTGCAGACACAGTTCAGTCCCTGGCAAGGCTCCTCGCTCCAGCCCCACCCACTGAGGAAGGCCACAAAACGCCCGCTGCCTGCCATTCTGGACGACGGTGTCGCTGATGTGAATGGAGAGCCGCACTCCGTTCTACTGACTGCAAGACGGACGGCCTGCCCTTGAGTAGGACGTGTGCCCCAGCCTCGTGGTTTATGTTCACACTGCATCCACCGCTAAGCGGAAAGAAAAGAAGCCACATAGCGAGAGACGCAGTGTGAGGAGAACCAGGGCTGTTTGGGGTTGGGGATGTCAAGTTGCTGTAAAAGGAAAGCCATTAAATTCTGGGAGGACATCTGTCCATCTGATATTTGTATGTGCGGACAATATTTTAATAAGTTGCTTTTCTTAATTCTTCAGTGGCTTTCACTCTTGCTACCTTTTAGTTATTCTGCTAAATGCTTCAAATGTGTTGTCTTTTAATTCATAGGAACTGATATCGTCCCATCTCACAGATAGGAACACTGAGGCTTAGGAAATCCAAGTGACTTGCCCCAATTTGGAGCACTGAGCTGCTAGTCACGCTGTTCTGCTCTCTCAGGAAAAATTCTTGCCAAAGATGAGGTCAGGGTTTTTAATGTAGGTAAATCAAGTGATTAGAAAAAGCAGGGCAAAATCTGTGAGAAGATTCACATCAGCATGTAGTTATATACCAAGTACTACTGACTTAATCAGTGTGCATGCCCAGTGATGATTTAATAGAGAAGATTAAACCCAGAAGGGCTACCAAGCAACCTAAAATCATTTGGAGAAATTAGTGACCTTTAAATGTATTGATTTTCTGATGAATCACCATGTTCGGATTAATTTTGATTCATTTCTACACATATAAATAAGATGGAATTGACTTCTGCTGTTTCTGCAGTGCAGTGTAGAATATTAGCTTTCAGGAATTGTGGGCCATCCATCATATTCTTATTTCTAGGGCAGACTCAGGAATAATGGTGCCTGTTTTATGGGGGAAGAATGAATAGTGCTCAGTAGATAAATTACCTGAGAATTCTCACAATCTCTAGGTCTGATTGTATGTAAATATTATGATTTTTTAAAAAATACACCCATACTTACATTTGTAGCCACTCAGAATTTGGAATCAAAATTCAGTTTCAGTGTTATACAGTTGCTGCCAGTTGTTTGGAAATAATGCATATTGCAGAGCTACGTTTAGTGAGGTTTAGTTTTTCATAAAATGAAATACTCATTTAAAAAAATCTATGGGGCTGGTACTAACAACACTTGGCGATGTTCAGGGAAGGCTTGGGAGGGTGGTGCCAAGAAAGCCATCAAATCCATCACTAAGCCAGCAAAGCCATCACTAGGAAGAGCCGGTCCAGCAATGCTGGGGTCCAGGCACCAGCTCTCTAGAGCCAGACAACTAGAGCTGTTGTTACAAGGATTTTTTTTTCTTGGTCCCATCTATCGGTAATGATATCATCAAGTAGAAAGAACTACTTTGGCCACGAAAATAACAATGGCAGCCCGGCCCCTGTTTCCCTTGGGAGAGCAGGTTGCAGGGAGGGTGATGGCAGGACTGGAGGCCAACCACAGTGAGGGGAATCACAAGCTCAGTGTTCTTCAGAGGCTACAGGTGTGGCCAGTGCTGCTGTGTTTTCAGGGGCAGCTTTCAGTTGTGAAAGGCACTAACTAGATACCGAGTGTGTGCTCAGCACCTTGCACAGAACACCTCACATAACTCTAAATGATGCTGTGATTTGTGTGTTCCTCTTGGTTCCGTCTTACAGGGAAGGGAACTGAGGCTTACAGACACTAAAGAAATGGCCCAAGAAAGCATAGCTAGTGAGCATTAAGCCAAACTCAGGCCCAGGACACCCACGGCCATTATGGAATACTGCCCATCTCATGGGAAATGTCTTCCCGAGAGGAAATGTCTTTCTAATATTAAAACATTACAGTTTAACTGATCTTTAAATGTCTTGGGTGGGGATTAAAGAATCTAGATGGATGAAAATACAGTTATAAAGCAACTCAGTGTTACTGTTTATGGAGGGAAAGGAAGGGAAGGAAAGAGAAACAAAAGGAACCAAAAAGGAGAGCAAGGGGCAGACAGACTAAAACATAGACCTGTGAGAAACTTCACACTGGAAGGTTGGGCACAGAACCACGAACTAGAGTAGAAAACAAGGAAGAATAGTAAGAGAGGTAGGAGAAAACCCAAGAGTGTCTACTATCACAGAGTAGTATCAGATTAGCTAATATTTTTTGAGTACTATCTGCCAAGTGCTTTATGTGTCACCTCATTTAATCATCATGATAGCCCTCAGGCAGATTCTACGAATAATTCTATTACAAATTTAAAATTTGAGGTACACTGAGGTAGTGCGCCTTTACCAGGATCACAGAGCCAAAGAGTGACAAAGCCCGCCTTTCAACCCAAGTGCTCCAACTGCAGCCTGTGCTGTGCTGATGGATACACTGCGTCTGATTTGGTGGTTCCACCCATGGTAATATTTTCTTAAGCAAAATCAGTATGGAGCATGAGCAGGGCTGATTTTTTTAAATAGCAAAATATCTACTGGAGAGATACACTTGTGAGGAAGTAGTTTTGAACTATGCAACAGATATAATTCTAGGTAACCATTATCTACTTTAATGTGGCCTTCCAGTGTCATTGGAGGGCAATGCACTTCACTTTGAACATTTTCTAAAGAAGCATTTGCCCTTGGAGAAGGTGAGCTTTCTCATGCCATTCTTGGCACCTTCCTCAACAGCATGGGGTCACTCTTGACTTTCACTTTACCAGCAATACAAATCCCTGTCTGTCTTGCACTCTCGGTGAACTCTTGTTAGTCCTGATTCTTCCTCTTACAAAGCTCCTGACACTTCTGATACACTGTCTTAACAGCCAGCTAAAGTTAGAGAACTTGTGCTGATATTTTGTGCCTAATTTGACAGTTGGACTCAGTGGCCTTAGTTTTCAACATGTAGTTGGTGATTCGTTATCCGATATTTTTCAATTATTTGGTCTATTAGACCAAATTTAATTGTAAATGATTTTTGAACCCCCCTGTTTTAAATAAATAACAAATGAATTCCATGTTGTTTGATCCAGAAGGTATATAAATATTTTATAATAATATTTCCCCTCCCTTATTGATTACAGGATAACTTGTTAGATGTTGGTCAACACCACCCATAGAATTATTATAATTACTGACATTACTGAGATTTTTTTTAGTTGTGTTTCTTTTTTCAAGTACCATCCTTTATGTATTGCGAATAGTTGACAATAAGGAGACATCTTTTTTGTCTTTCTGTTTCATAACAGAAATGATGTGCTAACATTTTCCTCTCTAATATGTCAGCACTTTCCCCTTTTCAGTTTTCAGTTTTCAGTTTTCTTTTCAGGCACTTCCTTCCTGTTCAGTCTCAGTCCCGAACATGTTCATTTGTATTATAAAAGAATATCACCAAGCTCTGGAGAAGCATAAGAATTATATCTAATGTGTTAACAGTAAGAGTTTTAATAGATCGTAGCACAAAATTACAGGTTATTTTTCACAAAATGAACATAAATTAGTAAAAGAAAATAACCAGAACTTATCACTAGATTTCCCCTAGAATAAACATCAAAGGTGAATACAATGTTCTAAGTAAAAGATGTTTGCAAAAAGCAGTCTATATAAAAAAATAAACAGACCTAGGAGCATCTGTGGTTGAAATGACACCTGCCTGAGCCATACTGGGTGTGGCCCTCACGATCAACTGCTGAGTGGCTAAAAAGAGCTGGGATATCGCTCAGTGTGAAGGCCCTGAATTCCATCCTCAATACTGCAAAAGTGAAATAAAAATAAAAACAACACACCCAAAGACAGTCTTCAACTGGTGGGAACAGAAGCACACAGAAGTTGGCTGGGACTGGGATGAACACCACGCAAACATGGAAAAAGGAACCCAAAGGAATCTGGGAGAACACAGATGCTGTCCACTGTAGTCTCTGAATCTTCCTTTGTTGAATTGTCCTGGGACACAGTCACGACATTTAGAAACACATCTTTACCTGTGAGTAACAGGTCATTCTGCCCCATCCTCTTCAATAATCCTCTGATTGCAACTGGGCTCCATTTCAATTCTAAATTGATTGCTTAAAGCTACCCCAAACATTGTATGGAAAAAAATGAGGCCAGGTTGGAGGAAGTCTGTGTTCAATTAGTGATGCCTGCTATGAGCAAGGCAGAAGACATAGCAGTTCTGTGAGGGAACTCTGAAATCTAAGGTACCATTAGAATGCCCAGACAGCTTTTTAAAAATATTTATTTCTAGGCCGACTTCCAGAAATTCTGGCTTAATTGGTCTGAGGAAGGGCCCTAGCATAAGTGTCTGCAGGGAGAATCCCATGTGATTCTATTGTTACGATCACAGCAAAGAACCACAGCAACTTTCAGCATAAATTACCAAGCTATTTCTCAGTTGTCCTGGAAATATCTTCAGAAATACCTTTTAAAACTGAAATAAATCCTCCTAAAAATAAATATTTTACTATAACTCCCTTCACAGCCTCACAAAGTGTTTGTGAATGTGTTGGCTTTGGGCAGGCTGATCATCACCACAATTTCATGTCTTCTGTGAATGAATTTAAGTTTTGGGGTTCTTTTCACATATCCTTCCAATAACTACACTCAGATATACAGATCTTTACAAGACAATGGCTGTAACCTCTAGGAAACACTGCCAGAATGTGTACATTTGCAATCTGTAAGGCTAAACTAACAACACTTCATTGTGAGATGGTTTGGAGTTTGATGCTTGTGTGAGGGATTGAGCAACAGTGTGATTGCCAGCACCGTTCCCCCACAAACCGCACGCCACCTCGTGGAAAAGGCTGAGACTGGTACAATGAAGTCAGTACTGCCTCAAAAATATTTATTAAGAACTGATTATGTATTTACTTGATGCTTTTACTTCTTTGT